TCAAGGTTCAATACTATAGATATATCTCAATTTGCTATTTATGTGCTTGTAGGTTGCAGCCCATCAGACCTGGTCATTGACGTTACAATTATATCAATATATCCAGGTTTCTTGTGGGACCCCACATGCCACTATCAACCAGGTAAGAACCAAGACCCTAAGAGCATGGAAGTGGGGAAGTTTCGCAATAGAAGATTAAAGCAAGATGAGGACACACAAATTAATGTTTCAAAAGAGGTAAACTTTCTATTTAAATGTGAACTGAGTGATGGATCTTTGACTTGCTATAGTTTGTAAATTGAAAAAGTGCATTTTGTTCTTTTAGCTTGCTTTCTATATGGATGCACAAAGCAAATCTGAGTCAAATCTCGCAAGAAGAAAACGTGCACAACTAGACCAAGGTCAGCTTTCAAACTCCCATAAATAATAACTCATCATACTAGAACTATTATATGTGATTGTAGATCTTATTTTGACTAATTCATTTTCNCCCTTTTTCGAGCAAGTCGGACGGAAGGATATACATGAAGGCGACACCCCTCACTTCAAAAAGGATTGCAATTATGATCCTCAACAATACTTATTCCACCACAAGGTGTTATAAAAACTAGAGTACATTGCAATGTATCTACACGTCAAGGGGAGGCTTCACAAATTTGTGTTGGTGCACTACAATCGAAATCCAAGGAAGATCCAAATGAGAAAGGAAAGGCATGATTACTATCCAAACAATTTGAAAACATATTTGAAGAAGTATTGTAAAAGGGCAAAGGGTAGGCCCAAAAGGATGTGGTTGGAAGTAGTCCGACAAGATATGGGGACATATAGACGCCTTGAGGGTCTGGCCTTAAATAGAGCAGAATGGCGGACCAGGATTCGTGTAGCCGACCCCAATTAATTGGGACAATACCATGATGATGATGATGATGATGATGATAATGATGATGATGATGATGATTTGAGGAAGTATTGTAGAGGAATAAGTAGTCGAAAGCTAAGGACCAGTCATCAACAACAGGATCCTTCAACAACACGCTAGTCCAGAACTAGAGGAGGGCAAGAAGAGGTGTCCCAAGGAGACTCGACAACAGGCACAAAGTAGACGAAGATGATGAGCAAGATGATGAGGTCAATGCTAAGGAGACGAGCAAGAAGCCCAAAGTATTGGTGTAAGCATGAAGGCTAGAATCATAGTTGTTGGACACGCCCGAGATTCCTAATCATTTTAGGAATCGAAATCGCGAAATCATGGTTGGCTAGAAGATTTAAGTTTTCATAATCGACGTCCATACAAGGGGATTGCAGGAAATAAGATTTCTACTTTATAGTAATCGAGATTAGTCTCAAATGGAATCAAGATCCTTACATATATAGAATCCACTTATACAGATTCCATCCTCTTTGGAATCGAGTTTCTAACCTTTTTGGGATCGACCTGTATGGAATCGAGAACTTGATATATGGAATCGAGATTCTGATATCTTTGCATCGAGTTTTAATTTGACACTTCTCATAGGTTCTGCATTGTTTATTTGTAGTTCATGACCATTTGTTTGTGGTTCTAATTTGTTAGAAAGAGTATCATTACATATAGAATCCAAATTCAACAAATTTAGAATCAAGATTCAACAATTGCGAAATCGAGACTCAAAAAATATTAGAATTGTTTTTCTACAAGTGTTGAAATCGAGATTCCTAAATCACGCAAACCTAGTAGCTTGGAGCCAGGGTTTAGCAAAGAATAAGATAGGGAAGATCCAAAAATAAAGAAAGATTCAAAAACCAAAGATAAAAAAACGATCACTTGCTGCTCTAGGATTCTAAATAAAAGTCCATAGCAAGATCACCCATTATGCTTGAGTACATCTCTTATATAAAAAAACCCTAAACGAGACTTAATCCTAGCCATCTATCTAATCTAATCATGCACTTTATTGTAACAGACTCTAAGTGAATTAAAAGACATAAAAGTATCTAGATATTATTATTTATACCCCTAAGTGAATAAAAAGACTCAAAAAATAAATAAAAGACATAAAAGGATCGACTCAATGACTAATTTGCCCTTCTGTGGTTCCTCTTGTAAACTTCAAGCTTCTCTCTCTTGTCTAGATGCTCGAGAGCAGTATTCTAAGCTGCATCAGCCCCCCCTTCTAAAAAGAATTCGCCCTCGAATTCAGTAGCTCGTCGTCAGAGGTATCACCAAGATACAAAATAACGGAAGTGTCAATATGGCCAGGAAGCTTCAATTTATAGGCATTGACATTAATCTTATGCAGCACTTCACATGGTCCAATCTTGCGTTGGCTCAACTTATGATATTCCCCAACTGGAAACTTATCCTTAGTCAAGATTGCCCACACAAAATCTCCAGGCGATGCTTGTCAGCTACTGTCTTATATTTGGCATCATACTCCATGAGTTTTTGAATGCTCAATTCCAATGAATCGTCTTCAACAAAAAACACAGTCACATGTTTTGGACCAAATAAAATATTATATACATCGCAACCTCTCAATAAAACATGAGAAATTAATAAGGGAAAATAAGTTTCCCAATAAGAAGCTTCATTCTGCCATGGTACATAATTTACTACATCGCCCCCATCAAGAGCATACTTCCTTGTCCAAACAAGGGAAGCCCATTTAGTGCAACATACCATTCAAGAGATAACCCATCTTGTCCATAGATTCCTACTAACTCAAATCCATGATGTACAAGGCCATGTATGGCAGGAATGCTATACGCATACTGACTTGCATGCCAACAATATGGACAATACTTAACTATCATCAACAATAGTGCATGATTTACATGTCCATCAACGAGGAATATGCACTTTTCCCCAATTTTGACAAGATCTAATTCAAGAAACCAGAGAGAAATGTGTTCCAAATTACTGCATCTCTCAAAGAAACTTTATCCATTATGTACATGTTTTGTCCACTTGGAAAATTGTAACATTTCTAGTAGATATGCATAGTATTATTGTCCATGAACATACCTAAGATATCTCGCTTACAAACTTTAAAATGGGTTAAGATGAATGCATTGCAGCCATGAACTCCTTCTATTTGAACTTGGTGAGTTATTGTTGGCGCTCTCAGCATAATAACCCCCCTCTTCACCATCATAAACATCGTCACGACCACTATCTTCCTAGCCAATAGCATGTTCTGCATTGAAGATAGGACCTTGTTCTTTCTTTTCATCAAATGTAGGTTCACCAACTTCTTCATCATAAATTGATTCTTCCACCAAACTTGAATCCTCATAAGGGTATGATTGAATCCTCTTCATCAACCGGCATATCGTAGATGGGATCCACTTCGAAAGAATGTTTGTTGTCCTCATCCAAAAGTTCGGGATCTCAACCTTGGGACTAGTTTCCCACCTCCTAGTGTCCCTATTCGTACGATCCACTACCTCTCTCCTCGGAGCCTGATCATGGAAAGGATTTATGAATTCATATCTGCCTCGATCTCATACTCCTGCTTCCATCTATGCCAAACGTACAACTAAGTTTCCACCAATCTCCTCAGATTCGCAATCCCTTGTTGCGAACTACCATCAAAGGCTTCTATCGTTGTTTTTTTTCCTCGTTTCCTCTGTGTGGAGGCATGTTTGTTGATCTAGGGCACAAAATCTATGCTACACTAAGTATCCTACAATACCGTCTTTACTGATCGCCGGGCTTTGATACCAACCTAGCCCGGATCTGGTAGCTTGGAGCTAGGGTTTAGCTAAGAAGACGATAGGGAAGATCCAAAACTAGAGAAAGATTAAAAACTGGAGATAAAAGAAAGCACACTTGCTGCTCTACGGTCTTAAATAAAGTCCATGACAAGATCATCCACAATGCTTGAGTACATCCCTCATATAAGAAACCCTTAACAAGACTTAATCATGGCCATCCATCTAATCTAATCATGGCCCTTTATTATAAAAGACTTCAAGTGAATAAAAAGACATAAGAAACTCTACAAATTACTATTTATGCCCCTAAGTGAACAAAAAGACTCAAGAAATAAATGAAAAAATATAAAAGGTTAGACTCAATGACTAATTTACCCTTTTGTAGTCCTCTTGTAAACTTTAAGCTTATCTCTCTTGTCTAGATACTTGAAAGCAGTATTCTAGGCTGCATTACAAATAAAGAATCCAGATTCATGACGTCATAGAAATGGATTTCGTGAATCGGGATTCCAAATCAGAATCGCAACCTTTGGTGAGACATTTCGATAACTATGGTTGGAATAGCCATGGCAAAATTGAATTAAGCGCCATCCATCCCATGATATAACAAAAATTGGGGGAATCACCACTACTAAGAAACCCAAGGTGATTTTGACCCTCTAAGGCATTCTTATTAACTGTAAAGTGCATACCGATGTTAAAGATTGGAATGCCTCTTGTTTCTTTGTATCTCTCTGACTCTCTGTGGGACAATGACTATGAGACTCACACTACTACTATATGTATGTACCTTATGTGTATGACTGTTGTAATGGAACTTCGATTTGTTTATATTTATTACATAATATAAAGTTGAACTTGGATATTGATGGGAGTTTTTTTTTCTGAATTATTCCTACTTTTCAAAGATTTTCGTGGGCGACTATCCCAACTCAGACCACACTCGGCAAGTCCACTTGGAACTTGCTGAGCTAACTTGCTTTGAGCACCTGGTGAGGCTCAGACCAGATCAGGAGGGAGTCCGAGTTTTGAGCAGGTTTAAACTACACCACAAGGATTCCAAATTGAAGTAACAAACAATCAATCGACAATTGTATTTTATTTTTACAAGTTCCATCTAACCAAAAATTCAAGGGAAACAATATGATCCATAAGAATAGAAAAGACATAAGTTTTTCAATCTTCTAGACAGAACACACTTGGCACGTTGAACCAAAACAAAGCATCACCCAAATAATTCTGTGAATAACTAAATCAGGCATAATTTCAAAGAAGATGAGAACTTGATTTGAAGAACTCCTTACTTTGCAGCTCTAATTTGAGCTTTCAAGAAGTTCTTATCCATGGCAATGGCCTTTGAACAATCCATAAGCGCTTCTCTCACCCTACCAAGAGCCATTCGGGTCGCAGCACGGTTGCTATAGCACAGCATTAATGCCCTGATGCACGCTGTGGACATTTCCTTTGGAGGAATGCTATTCGCCCCACGTGAGTAGTAGTCTTCAGCCTTATGTAAATCTCCATTTGCATAAGCTTGATTACCCCTGATTACATGAAATCAAATATCCTTACTGACAATGAGGGAAACCCCCAATTTTCCGGATGATAGAAAGATTCGACAGATATTTCATAATCATATGAAAGAGCAAATAGCCGACCCCAATTAATTGGGAAAGGCTAAAATGATGATGATGATGATATGAAAGAGTAAATCTAGGAAAAACAAAGAGAAGCTGATTTCAAACAAGAAGAATCAGAAGCTACTAAACAATGGACTCACCTAAGTCGCCACTTCTCACAAAGTTCCTGTAATTCAGCAGCTTGGGCAGTGGAAGGTCGGTTCACTGTCTGAGTAGGAATAGCAAAGGTCATAGATTTTCCTGCACCTCTATCACCACGTGGCATAAAATCTTGCTGTGCTTCCTGTTTTGACGAAGAAATTGCATTGCCTTTTGACTCTTCTGCCACTCCTTGAACCCCAGCTGATCGACCAAGGAATACATCGCCTTTTTCAAATAGCCCAGCTCCCTGCATCCCACTGCTAGCAAGTGGGAAGGGCTGGATAGAAGGGGAAGCAGGGTGAAACATGGGATTCTGATTGAGAGCATGTGGTTCAACTTTCAAGCGGTGCTTCTTCCTAAAATGGTGCCTTGCTGATGACAATGGAGTTTGCGTCGGGGACGATGCAACAAAGGTAAAATCAGTCTTCTTGGTCTCTTCCAATTTTAAAGAAAAGCTAAACTCTTTATCACCCTTGGCCTCGGTCTTTTCTACTCTTTCTCTCAGACACCCATCAGTTTCAGAAGCAGCAGCACTAGTAACATCCTTGATATCCACCTTTTCAAGTTTGGCTCTTAAAGCCTCATCTTCAGGCTTTGGAGGAAAACCTTGATCATCTTCAGAACTGCTCGACTCAGAACAATGATTGGAACCCTCCTTACTAACAGTTTGTACCTCACCTTCATTGATATACAAGTTTCTAGTTGCAGAACTGAGAATTTCAACCTTTCCATCTATAAAATCCGACTTTCGCATAGGTGGAATCCGATCAGCAGTACCCAAGTGGAAAGAAGAATCAGATGCAACTGACGATCCTCTCGAGCTTTCATTTGCTGAAAGAGTTTCTCGATACGGAGAGAAGTCCATTGGTGAATAACTTTCTGAAGCTTCAGGCTCTAAAGATGCTTGGCCAGGTGTTTCCCTAGACCCAGTTTGTCCAAGATGCTTTGGAGCATGGTGCCTAACATTTTCCTTCTTTTTTCGATTCCTTATACTCTTGGATGGTGTGCCCACATTGGCATTGAATTCAAACTTTGGTGGTAGGCTTGAAGATGGAAAGTCATCATCAAATTTTGGAGCATCATTTTGGAGAGGAGTTTCTCCCTGTTTTGCTCCCATTGAGCCAGCAATGGTTGCATCCACCCCTCCAAGAAAGCCTGAAAAACTAAAGTGGGTAGCTCCCTCCGACCTTTCTTGATTAATTGATGTGAAAGAAGCTCCAGATGATGATGATGATGAATGCAGAGAAGGTGGAACAAATGCACATTGCCCAACAGATGATGATGGCGACAAAAATGATGATTGTATAGGAGGAACAAATGTTCCATTCTCAACATCCTCTTTCGAACGATTAGCTGTGCTTGGTTTCACACCTGACTCCCCCATTTGAAAAATGAAAGACATTGGAACAGCCACTTTGGCTTCTGTTAAGCCACCAAATGCCGCACTTGTCGGGGTTGTTGAGTTGGTATCTTCATTCGAAGCTCTGGACTGAGAATTTGCACTCTCCCTAACCTGTGAATTCTGAGTACTACGCAACACATGGCGCCTTCTTGTGCCGGCGAAAGCACGAGCTGTCCTCTGTGATCTACCAGAAAAAGAAGCTTCATTTTCAGAGCTCTTGCCATTACCCAAATGCATCTTCTTCATCTCATCTTGAAGAGTAGATCGCTTGCTGTTGCCATTGAAGTTCTCAGTTAAACCCAAGCCTTTTCCCCCATTTGTTCCAAATGTGAAACCATTCCTTTCAAAGCTTTTGTCAACTTTAAAGCTGAGCTCGGGGCCTTTGTTGTTAGTAGTCTCGGTCTCAATCTTCAACTTCCTCAGTTTATCAGGGAGCATAGATGGCTCATTTTGACTAAAAGAACCCGTTGATGTCCCTTGAAAAGAAAATAATTTAGCCTCACTTCCACCTCCAAAACTAAAATTTTTCCTCTCATGAATATTTTCTGTAGACTCAGTAGAAGTTTTCTCACCATTAATGGTGAGACCATGGTCTTTAGCACCCAAATCATCCTTTGAATAAGACTTGCCAGTTAAGCCCGACGAGAAAGGGTTCCAGCCATGGATACGATCCTGCACGCTCTGTGCTTGCTCACCAAAACGAAATTCCTTTACATTACCATTGCTGGTTCCCACAAATCTAAACCCATCAGAAGAATCAGCATTACCCAACTGACCAGACTTACCATTGTCCCCAAATTTCCCAGAAAAAACCCCTGGTCGATCAGAATCCATTGTAAAACAAGGGCTAGGTCCAGTTCCTCTAAAAGAACCAGAACTCTCTGCATGTTTAAAGGGATTAAAGGCCCCTGAATTCTCTTTACCATCTGAACCAGAAGACAAAGACCCCAAAACTGGAGGCCTTCCTTTTCCTGAAATCAAATGCCTCCTGGACTTTGCAAGCCGAGGCCTCCATCGAAGCCCTGATTGATCGTTCCTCAAATCCGACTGCCCTAATTTTCCATTAAAAGAAGATGACGTTGCAGAATTTTTAAAGAATGCATTATCTGGATTCTCCCTAGAAGCACCGGACTGTGAATCCATGGCACCATTCCTAAAACCCATGGATTCAAAGAAAGAAGAAGAAGCAGAAGAAGTTGAAGAAGAGAGAGAGGACGAATCAAAGGGAAGGTTTGAAGGAGGGTTTTTGGCGTTCTGAGAAGTACCTCTTCGAAAATCAGGGAAAGAGAAAGGAGAAGGATTGGCCTGATGAGAGCTCGAAGCTTTGGTTTCCATTTGAGGCTTGGCTGAAACTCTGAAATTTAGCATGGCCGACATTACGGCGAAGTCCTCATCAATTACAGGTCGCTTTTCCAGCTTCCCGTTCTCGATCACTCGCCAGGAAATAGTAGGATCGGAAGAAGAGAGAGAAAGAGAGACTGTATTAATAGATAGCGGTTTGGATAGATTTCTAAACGATTCAAGATTCAAGAACAAGACATTTTCTAGAGAGAGAAAGGGTTTAGGGTTTTGTGTGGAAGAGAGAGATGGCCGGCCTCAATGGATTTGCAGACGGACGAAAACCAGAGGGAGGAATCGGAGGAGAGAGAAAGGGTTTTCTTTTTATTTTGATACGAGGAGGAGCTCGGAGGTTACCTTACACTACATGTTTTCTCTCTCTCTATTAAACTGAGGGTTTCTCTGCTTCACATATGCACTCAGTTTGAAAAAATAGGGAGACAAGGTGAACGTTGGAAGGAAACTTATGCCCTAAATGCATTGTTTTGGTAACAAAATTTGAGTAGGTGAATTTATACGTGTAAATGAATTGCCAAAAGATATTCTAACCCTGCCGGAGTAGAATGTACAACTACTCCCGCGGATAAAACCTCATCTACAGTTAGTTTTAGGTCCTCAAATTTTAGAGATTAATGCTTTCAACCTATACATTAACCTCAATGTCTCGAGATTAAAAAAAGACTATTAATTTTTTAGATAGTAAGATCTAAGTGTTAGAAAACTTAAATAGCAATTTTTTTCTTTTAAGAATAATCATCTAATAATTCTTAAAGAGTGCGGTTTGTATAGAGCTAAGGCTCTAAATAATCAAATTAGAGCTCACCCTCAAATAGTATCGAGAAATATGGTTTTAATACTAAAAATCTTTGTAATAGCCTTAAACTCTATTTCATCTTTAATTATAAAATTTAAAGTTTCACAAACACTGCAGATCAAGCAGGTCTATAAAAACTTAAAAATTGACAGTCAAAAAATGTATTGCAAGATGCACTATTTTTAAAATTTAAAATCTATTTTGTCTCATGTACATGCTTCTTGAGGTCGAGATAATCAATTTAACCATATTTAAGCATCAAAACAACCTCTTTTAATAAAAACTTTTAAGTGCATTCTAATTTGATTATTTAGAGCCTCGTACTTATATTAACCTTTTTTCATCCTTAAATGGCTCCAAAAATTTAAGATATTCCACTATAAATCTTTTCACCGAGGGAGTATAAGTAAACTATACTCTCGAAAGAGCCTAGTTGTAAAAGTGTAAATAGTGTTGAAGGTTAGAACTGAAATATTAGGCCCCTACGTCATTATTGTGTTGTTGTTTGTGTCCTTGTGGCAATAGAAGCTGAGTTGTCTCTCTCACTTGCTTCCACGAATCCAAAACTCAGCACATTTGAAGAAGTTGGGTGATGATCTAGGAAATTTAAAACTTTAATATACTTTTTTCCTTAAAATGTAAAATTTTGTGGAATTAATTTTATTTTATAAAATTGACCGCGGTGTAATGGAGAAATCTGACTGGAAATCAAATTTCGAATGATAAAAACAATGATATTTGACTTAAAATGAGGAAAACAATTATGGACAGAAATATTTTTCAATCCTAAAATTTTGATCCAAATGTGAGAAATGTGCCAACTCTACTGAAAAATATATCTGAAAATGTATTTCTAAATACCCAAACGACCCCTAAGTTTATAAGAAGCTCAAATTATTAGCTACCAACACCTTTCACTATCTCATCAGCCTAAAGTTTCAAAGCGATAACTAATTCAACAAAATTAAGATGGAATAATAAATTTAAGGTAAATTTTAAAAGTCTTTTTAGTAATTTTTTAGCTTTTCAATTTCTTTTGCATTGAGAATATTTTCAAAAGATTAAAATTATGGATACCCCTCCCACACAAAATAGTTTTCTTACTTATTAAAAAGAGTACGCTATATGCTACAAATGAACTTTTATTATGGTGATTTGCATGCATCGATTTTAGGTTCAAATTTGAGGAGATTGTAATCTCTTGTTCTCTATCAATCATGACTATTTTAAGATATTTATAGGGAAAGCTTTTTATGTTCCCCTACAACATAGAAGTTCTATCCTTCCCCTTATCCAACCGTCCATTTTTTAATGGAAAGCTAAGATTTCCCCAATCACACGTCTCTATACTATTTTTTTTTTATTTTTTTTTCTATAAATTATTTTGACACCAAATTTGGGACTTCAATTCCTCTATTAAACTTGCACTAACAAAAATTATAAAAAAAAAAATATTTTAGCATCAAAGCATGATCGTTGATATAAGTCCCCGATTTTTTTTTCTATTATTACCAACCAATACTACTAGATTGATGATATGCAGCATGATAATTGTCGGTATTATTTTGATATGAAATGTTGGGTTTCCTCGTATTTCAGGATTTTTTTCTTAGGTCCAATAATTTAACGTATCTTGAAAGTATGCCCTAAGCATTATTTTCTATTTTTTTGTGTACGCATTATTTTTGTACTTTTTGTTGTTGAAAAAAATATCCATGAGGCATTATTTGCACATGATAATTAAGAAACTTCTAATAATCCATTAGTAATTATTTATGATAATGTAAGTAGCTCTCGAACTTTTTACTTTTCTAATTATTGCCAATTTGATTTTGGTTCTCTCCTAGACTATATAGATGGAAGTCTGAAAGAAATCTTTGTAGCATTATTTTGTTTTCTTATTGTAACATTTAATCCCAAAATATTTGGTCCACAAATTTTATTTTGAAGAACTTTTTGTTTGATTCCTTCTGATAAATTTTCATACCCTAAATTATTATTACTGATTGGTTCCTTCTAAGACTGTTGTTATTTGCTATTATTTGGTGTTTCATTTAAGAAGTACATGGATTATGATGTTTTCTTAGTCAAAGACAAGAAGATTTGTTTTGATAATGTAAGTAGCTTTGTATCTTATTTTATTATTATTATTATTACCCTAAATGATAGATCAACTTGAATCCCAAACACCTTATTGAAAAATGTGTTTGGTGATTTTATATTGATAGCTTCTTCATGAAAGATGTTATTATGAGATTCTTGGATTCTTATTGCTGATTTTGTACTTTGGATTTGAGAATACGCTTCGATCTGCGTATATGTTTTATTTTGAAACTATTCTTGAAGCACCTATATTTTTGTGTATCATGAAAGCATGAGGTTTCTTATTGCTAATTTATATTTTTGGCTCTCATAGGGCGTGTTTGATAACAGGAAGCAAGAACATGAACTGAAAATTGGAAGTTACTGAAGAACTGTAAATTAGAAGTTACTTAATAAGTTAATGGTTTCTGTGTTTGGGAAGTTAAGAAGTTCATAGTTTCTGTGTTTGATAACTGATATATGATAAATATCTTATATTTATATTTACATAGATAATAATTTAA